AAGAGCGTGTATTTCTTGTTTACTTTAGCAGAGAGAATTGGACTAGATAATCTCTTGAGGTCCCTTTTTACCCTTTGCTGATTCTTGCTCGAGTCCTAAGGACCAGTTACTAACTCTTTCTTTTTTTTTTAAAGGTGCAGGGATTCTTGCCATGGCTAATGCTGGCCCAGATACAAACGGCAGTCAGTTCTTTATCACCTTGGCACCAACTCAGTGGCTTGATGGGAAACACACCATCTTCGGCCGCGTTTGCCAAGGTATCGGGATAGTGAACAGAGTTGGCATGGTAGAGACGAATGCTCAGGATCGACCTGTAGATGACGTGAAGATTTTGAAGGCTTACCCATCTGGTTAGACCTGCCACAAGCAGGGTGCAGTTACCTTGTTGGCAGTCCTGTATCATTGCAAAACAAAGCCGTTCAAAGGGGTGCTAGCCAGGTAGCTTGGGCCCAGAGTTTATCTTCAAGATTTGAAACATGACTCCTTTTTTAAGGATTGAAGGGGGAGGGGGGGAATATCTACAATTCATCTTAACCCAATGCATTTTAGTCTGTGGGTGTTTATGGGGCAAGTGGGTAAAATGTTCCTTGTCAAATTTTGTCCTAAAACTTACACCTGCTAAATCATGTTTGCACATGATGTGATATGATGTACAATTACATTTCTGCCCTGCCTCCCTTCTAACATGAAGGCAATCTTTAATTACACAAGAACCAGGTGGAACAGAAGGTTAAGGCACTACTGCAAATCCACTCAGTGTTTAAGAGAACTTTTTGGGGTCTCCACCGAAATGTAGCATCAACAGTATTGAAGTATCCCTTGCTTTGAAGGGTGAGGTAGTTGGACTTCTTAGGACTGGGGAGACTAGTCAGCCTGCACCTTATTCATTAACAGACTCTATGTTAAATTTGGGGCCTAACTTGACAGCCCTTCTCCCCTTCCCTCCCTTCACAAGCTTTTACAGCTATAAAAATAGTGATTCTGCCTTGTTTTCTCACACAGCAAACAAAAATTCATGGCAGTCTTTAACATTGTGCTCATACTGGGTAAGGGGAGTTCTGGCAGAGGGACTTACTTTTCCAATACCCAAAACCTTGTGACAGCAGGTGGGGGGGGGGATATCTTAAACTTCATTCAGCTTTTGTAATAATCCTTATGGAAAATCTAGAGATTCCAAGTAAAAGAGGAATCTTTCTGAAAAAACTTTAGGATCAGAATCCTAATCTAATCCCCACTTCAAATTCTCTTTGTTAGCAAAAGACTTTAGACAGGTGTGTTTGTGTAACAGGCTAGCGTTCTTTTTGTAATGTGTGTCACCTTTTTTAAAATAAAGAACAAGAAATGTATTCTCTGGATGAAATACCTGCTGGTTTGGGACAGGGCTTATTGTCCTCTCTGCGTCTGAGATTACTGCTTTCATAAAACTTCTTGTAAACATGGCGAGGAAAATATGTGCCCATCAAAGTCATGTCTGCAGGGCTTGACTGTAACAGCCGCTTAACAACATCCCCTGTGATGTGCTGATCTACTGGAGAAGCTTAATAGCTTTCAAGCTGTCAGGTTTAAGAGGTCCTCTAATAGGGGGAAAAAGAGGGAAAGATAAACAAGCATCATGGGTAGAGTTATCCATTACCATTTGTGTGTCTAAATGGCAGTTTTTCAGCCATATAAGTAGCCTCTTGAGCCCTTACACTCGGGTTGTAATACTGTTACCCCTGCAATGTGAGCACTGTTACCAAACTTAATATTAGACTTTCAGTAGTGGCACTGAATTCATACATGCTTGAACAAGAATAGTCTGTTCTCTGAAGAGAGCATTCATTGGGCACTGCAATTTCAGGTATGCAACAAAGAACAAGAAGCTTAAGCGGAGTTTTTCCGAGACGCAGCCCAGTAAGACACAGTGACAGCACGCACAACTTGACCTAACTTAAAATGCAGCATAAACTAAAAGACAAGAGAGAACCTTGCATCGATCTTGCATAATCGTAAGGAGAGGGTGTCTGCTTGTAGCCAGGTATTCATAAAATCTCTCTGGGCCAAATCGGTTCTGAATTCTATTGATTCAAGTCTCTGTGATGCTACTACTGACAAGTATCCTTCCTCCCAAGCTCTTCAGCCTGGGGCTTCAAGTACTCCCAAATCCATGGCAGGGCATTGGGGTGTGCCCGATCCTTTTAAGGGAGCTGGGAGTCTGTGAGGCTGCTTGCATGTGGCAGAAGGGGCTAAGGCTCAAAGAGGGCTCAGGCTGGAGCTATATAAGCCCAGAGCCTGAGCTGGTTAGGCACTCTCTCCCTGGCAGCCACAAAGTGAGGAGCTCCAGGCAGGAGGAGGGCTCCTGAAAGGGCTGGTGTTGATATGAACAACCCTGCAGACCTGGGAGCAGAAGTAAGTCTCCTGGTCAGAGGAAATCAGGGTTTTACAGGCAAATGGCTTTTGCTTTATGTTGAACCCACAGAGGGTCTCTGAGCCGGGAGAAGGGCTGCAAGTCAAACCAGGGATTTGGGAGCCCAGAGGAGGGGCGGCATGCAGGACCAGGGATCTGGGAGCCCAGGGAAGGGACAGTGTGTGGGGCCAGGGGTCCAAGAGCCCAGGGGGCTGAATATAATTAAATGACATCATAGAAAGAAAATGCCCTCAAGGCTTGGGGCGTGGTGTAGGGGAGGTATGGAGCCATGCAAGGAGCCTTTAAGGCACCAGGTGCCTGGCAGAGAGACAGCCAGACTGAGAGGGCCTGCTAGCTAGCCTGGGGGAATGACTGTCACTGAGGTGACCCAGGAGAGGCCCAGTGGTGATTGATACAGGCTCAGGTTTACTCAGAAACCACAGGCAGCCTCTCTTTTATAACCTTCAATAAGAGCAAGGCATGGCAGGTGAGTGATCCAAAGGGGGCTGAAGCGAAGCCTGAGCCAGGTAGGGTCATCACGGCTGCTAGAGGATGTCACGGCTGCTGCATGGCCACAGGCCGGCTACAGCATCCTAGATGCAAGCCCCAAGCTTGGAAACCTTGAAGTTCATACGCCCCACAGCCAAAAGGCTGAAGGAGCAAGCTAGAGGGAAAGCTCGAGAGCAATTCCCCATCAGCATAAATTGTGTAGCCAAGATTCTCACGTTGGAGGCATTATAGACTTGCAGGGGTCAGATCTTCACCCTCTAACTACACTGAGTCATTCAAGGCCAAGAAGAAGGAGATCTCTCCTGCCAGGTAGGTAAAACCACCTGGGCGAAAACCATCATCATGGTATCTCCCATGCCAGGTAAGTCATGGCATCTTCCCTGCTCTGGGGGATCCGCAGGTCTTAGGTGATGAGGTGGAGTGCCTGGGTTTTTATAGGGATCTGCACTCCCTTGGGTCCCTCAAGTATCCCATGTCTGGTGACTCTCACCAGTTCAGAGTTCAGTGTCTCTGTCTCTTGCCTCAGGTATTCTGGTCTCACCCCTGAGGTTTTACTTTGAAATGCAAATATAGCCCCCTGCCTTCTTCTCCTCCCCTGCTACCTCAGGTCACGCGCTTAACATCTGTCACATAGCTTCAGAATCAGTTAAAGGGCCTAATGTGTGACTCTAGGTCAGATGGAAGCTGGCCCCTGGACAGGAGGGGACCCTGGGTGCTAGCCTGGAGTGCTGCTTCTAATAGGGCAGATGCTCCCTTTGCTTTCTATCCATTGTATCCAATGACTATTAAATGCAAGGTGCAGTGGCTGAGCTTCAAAGGGGTGCTGGGGAGCAGACTAGATAATACCTAGCCTGTGGTGTGGCTAGAGCATCATGCTGGAAAGTTAGAGAGAAATGCAGATTCAACTTCCTCTGGGTGAGTGGGGCACAAAACCTGGCTCTCCTGTTTTCTGGGTGAGTACTGTTATAACTAGACTATTGTGTTAAAACGTGGGCAGTCCCTCTTCCTTCTCATTCTTTTTTTTTTCTGGGAATTACGCCAGAGGTACGTAGCTGCCTAGCCAGTCTACTGAGCATGCACACAATACACACACGTACATGTCGGCGCAGCGTGGTTGATACAATAGCAAACTGTCTAAGTGCCAAAAACACCCCTTATTATGGAGCTGGGAAAGTGCTATTTAGATGCACAAAGCATAATGGAGTTCCACCCACAATCCTTGAGTCTGGCAGTAATTCTTTGACCTGGGTGGCTGACCACGTCCTCAGCAAAGATGCTATTGCTCTGAAGCTGTACATCTGTCAAGGGAAATGTTAATTGGGAAGAAATATTTAGGTTGATGTATAGAGGTGACTTGTGGGCGTGCAGAAAGATCTCTTCGTATTCCGATATGTGGGCAATTCCTGAGGGCATCTCTGGTTTCTAGAAGGGGAACTGCTTAACAGCACCCCAGAAGGAGCTCAGAGGCTCACCCCCACTATTGCCTGCCATGATATGCCCTTAAAAATCTCTCCTTCTACTTGATCCAGCTCAACCAGAATAGCCACTTGTCAGAGCAGCTGCAGCACTAAGTTGTCCATCAGGCTACTGGCTTGTTTGACCTCCTGCATTTCAGTGCCCTCCAGGCTCCAGAGGTAAGGAGCTGTGAAGTCAATGGATCAGCGTAG